TTCCATGATGAGATTTCCCCTTCTTTCTCCCTCCTTTCTCTTAAATTTTATTTTATTTTATTTCATTTTATTGAGGGGGAAGCTGTGTGGGTTTGGGAGGCATGATGTGAAAGACACAAAGAATACATAAAAAAAATTTAAAAAACAGGTGTAGAGATAAATCCTGTTGATTATTTTTACTATATCCCCCCCGAGATGCTCCTAGTATATAAAAATTATGGGATAGGTCTTCCTGATGTTTCCCTGGAGGTAAAGAGTACAAAGAGAAATTATATATGTCTAGAAGTGGCTTTTAAAAATAAGAATTTCTTAGTAATTCTTTGAGACTCGCATACAATGTATTTACTCCAACTGCTTCTTTTACCACATTCAAAAATCTCTTATCCTTTCCCATCCACTTTGGAGATTATTTATTTACTTTCCTTGTCTCCCTACCAAGTGCTGTTTGTATTGCAAAAAACCTGCAGGGTCTTCAGATAAAGCTCCCAGCACTGAGGGCAGGGAGGTGTAATCCCAACACCAGCTGAGGAACCATTAACAGAAGCGTTGTTTGTTTAGGCATTTAAATTAAATGCTTGTGTCCAAATGGCACTGCAATGCTGCAGAAGGGAGCACAAAATAGTCCTACTTGCGAATACAGAACTGGAACCTGTACTCACCAAAGGCACATTTTAATCACTGCCATATAACTCCCTCTGTTCCCCTTGGATATAAAGTAATTTACCTTGCCTGATGCAGGGAAGCTTATCGACTATAAACACTGGCCCAGTGGATTTGGATTCTTTTGCTCCTTTTCTGTCCCACCGTTAGATACTTATTGCCAGATTTCTAGTTGGAACTCGTGCCAAATAACAGGCTACGAACTCAGAAGAAAATGGTGGGTTTCACTAGTCATGCTGACAAAAAGTAAGACAAACAGACAGATTCAAGTTATGAGTTAGATAGCATCACCTTTCTTCTAGCTCTCTCAGCTACTTATGAGAGGCAGACTATGTCACATTGCATCAAGTAAAAACTGTTTGGCAATCAGGACCTCCTGCCTTTGCATTGACATGAAGTATCTACACCAGGCAAAGAGAGCCCTCACTGAATATTTATGCTTTGTTTCTTTAGTATTAATGACAGGCTGGTCAAACAATGCTGGCAACACTCATCATTGTCTTAAATTTCATCTAAATGGCATGAGGTGATTGACATACTTTTATGCTTCTGGTTTCTTTTGACATTCTTTTACAGGTATTCTGGTAGATGTTCACACTCTAATTTGGATATGTATGTACTTAGCAGTAAAACTACAGGTTCATGCGATAGACGTAGATTTAGCTTTAGGAGATACTGTCGAGCAGTTTTCGAAAGTAGGTGTACAAGCCAGTGCTTTCACCTGCAATGTATGTGAGTTCCAGTAGTTCCGTTGTTCTGTTTCTTATTATCAGTCCTTTCAAATGTCCTATTTCTGGTGGGGTTTGATATATCTCATTGTGGTTTGTATTAGCGTTTCTCTCATTTGACAAATACCTATTTGTGTATTTGTAGGTCATGTAGATAGTCTATTCTACAAAATAGTAGCTAACTTTTTCTTGCTTTGAGATTTGCATTGTCTTGTTCTTTTTGATTTGTAGGGGTTCAAAATATGTGCACAGAATAAGTAGGCATAAACCTTCTATTGAGAATATTTTCTGAATATTTTCCTACTTCATTATTGACCATTTTACCATCTTAAGGTATCTTTTTGATAGATAAAAGCTCTTATTTTAATGAAAAGAATAATTAGCTAATTTGGAGGGTATGAGGCAAATCTTTGTTTTCCTAAAATCATGAAGCTTTTCTCTTATGGTCTAAGTGACATACTTGTTTTATCTTTCAGATTTAAGTCTACCATCCATTTCAAATTAGTATCTGATGTATGATCATGGTCATGGTTCCATTGGTTTGTCTATCTGTGTACCAGTACTATGTGGCCTTAATGTCTGTAGCTATACATTTAGCTTTGTTATTCTAAAAATGTTTGCTTATGTTGATGTGTAATATTGCACAACTTCATGGTATATGACATTGTGTTTCTGTATGTGCCTACAACATGCACTAATAGAATCAGGGTAGTTAACATGTCCTTTCTTCATGATTGGCATCTTTGAGTTCCTATCTCTGGTTACTCAGAAAATATAGTTTGTTATTGTGAACCTATTGTGTCATGGAAATACAGAAAATAATCATTATATTTAATTTGTTTTTTTGTTCCCATTTTCTAACCTTTCTTTATCCTTCTTCTCTATAGCCCTTACCAGTTTCTAGTAATCAGTATTCTGCATTCAAATGGACAAACTGTAACTTCCACATAGGAGAGAGAATGTGAAATGTTTGTCTCTCTGTGCCTCAGGCTTGATATCTGGTAGTATAAATCCTCTAGTATTGCCCTTATGAGGCATGGTTCTTTATATGTGCTTATATGTTTTAGAAGAGGTTTGCCCAGAGTGTCCTTCAAGAGTAGTATTGATCTTATTGATTCACTGCCCTCTTCTATGTCCCTCCAATTTCAAAATCTAGGTGTCTTTTTGAGGAGGAGACCAGCAGTCTTTTTGTGGTAATACCCATTCCTATCGTGAGAACTTCCTACCCAGGGGCCAGCCTAGAACTCAGCTAATTTCAGGTAAGAAAAACTAACCCTGCATACCTCAAAAAACTAGCCTTGTATACCTCAAAATTCCATTCAGTCCATTATACTGATCTCCTGCAATTGGCAACAGTTACGCTGGCATTTCTCACTCCTTGGTAGAGACCTTCTACCTTTGGACTATCTTTATCTTCCAGCTGTGCCCAGAATTAGCAAATGTCACAGAAAATGCCTGCTACCATCAGCTCACATTAGGAAGGTCTCTGCATTTTTCCTCTTTCCAGCCCTTTCTGATAGCCTTAGATCTACTAATTTTGGAATTTATCTTTGTTTTTCTTTTCTCTGAGTGTATGTGTTATTATTATTTTTTGGTTGTTGCAGGAGCATCTGCAATCTATTTGAAGGCAGAACTCCAGCAATCATTTTCTAGGTACAGCTGTAAGCCCTTTGTCCATCTTGATTCTATTAGAGGTGAGTAACTCTCCACAGTTTAAATAAATTCAGCACATCAGAGGAGGATTGAATGGACACACCTGTAAATCTCCATGAAACAACTGATAATGACATGAACCCTATAGGAGAAGGATCCACTTCTCTCCATCAATTTGTGTTAGACACATTCAATTCAGAATTTAGCCGGTTTCAAGGGATTACAATTGTAAGGAACATTCTCATTCTATTCCTGTTTAGGAGAATGAAATGTCAGCTATGGACCCATTAAAGTAAACATGCTAGTATAGGTACACAAATGCGTTCCCTTTGACATAGATCTTTGGAAGTAATTTCCGAGCTCCACCATGTGACTGACCATAAATAACACAGTTAAAACCTATGGTTCTCAATTTTCCCAATCATAACTTCATATAGTTATTTTATTGTAAGTATTAGACACTAAAAGGTAAATTTAGGTTACTTGGTGCTTTATATGTTATAGGCCTTCCACAAATTTGATAATTTATTACAATATTATGGGTATGCCATCTCATCTAACATCTGTTTTGCAGGTAGGGGATTGATTATGTTTGGTTATTTTAGGAGTGGTGATAAAAGTACAATAGTAGTCAATGAGATCCAGCAATTTCATATTATTATATAACCTAAAACTCTGTAAAATATAACTATTAATACCACTCTAGATAGTTCACTTATGATTCTCTTAAATACTTCTCATTTCCCTAGATACAATTATTCTTTTTTTGCATCATAGATTTTCTAGCATTCTATGGGAATAGTATACAGTATGTATTCTTTTATGTCTAATTTTCACTAAATATAATATTTTTATATTAATACTTATTTCTATTAGTAGTATACTTCTTTCATATTTATTATTAGTATCTTACTCTGTCAATATTCTACAGCTATTTAATCTTTGGCAATTGATACAATCCCCAAATACCATCAACAAGTTCTGCAGCACCATTGGCCTCATGCCACAATTGGTCACCATCATAATCAAATTAAAATCCTCATTTCTCATCTAAATGAATGGAGTAACCATTGTCAGCTCTACAGGATTCATTATCATCAAAAGACAATTTGCTATAGCTTTTTTAGTAATGTTTTATCTATTGAGAGGACTACTGAGATATGGAATCAGTGTCAGTTCCTCTAATAGTTAATAGAGTTAATGACTGCATAGAATAATTAATAAGAACAAACGAAGAGCTTTTACAATTTATCGCAAGTAACATCTGTCCCCAGGATGCAGGACAATTGAAAACTTTAATGAATTAATAACTAAAAACATCAAAGCGTTTAACCGTTCAGATATAAATGGCAATGAGGCAAAGATGCTAATATATATAGTTAAAGGCTGAGTGATGGGGTATCTTTTCTCAATGGAGATGTTCAGGAGAGATATAAACACCACCTATGCTCATTTTATTCTGAAATCCCTGAGCAAAAATAAATATCATGAGAAATTCAAAGGAAAAGGGAGGCAATAGATCCTCATTGGGTGTTCAAAAAGGAAGAACAATAGCTAGAGGTCTCCTTTAACTCTATGGACAATTCTTGTGTAGCTGTATTTGTGTCAATAACTTGGAGTATGGATAAAAGGTCAAGGATGCTGATCTTTGTATTTGTCTTTTTCCATTATTAGATCTGATTTGGTGTGTTGTCTTGGATGTGACAATCTTGTGATGATTACAATAGTAATCCACTACTAGTTCAGACATTTTGTGAGAGATTAACCAACATCAACAAAAAGTTCTGTAGTTCTACTATACTCATTCCATACTTGATTATCATCATCATAATCACACCAACTGCCTCATTTCTTCTCCACGCCAACAGAAGGGCCATTAATCGGCTCCACAAGATCCACTCTTATCAAGAACTCATTTGCTTTCAGTAATATTTTATCTCTTGAGAAGAGGGCTGAGCCATGGAATCTGTGTCGATCCCTGCACTGGTTGCTGGACTTATTGATTGCGTAGCCCAGCTAATAAGAATAGCCGAGGAGCTGTTGCAGTTTGTCTCACAGGAACAAGCTCCTTTGGCACAACAGAATGATACAGCGGAAGCAGCGGCAGCAGCTGCACCTCCTCCTGATGAAGATTCTCTACCGGATCTTGCTGATCTTTCTGACTTAGAATCAATACTTTCAGTAAAAGAAGATGAAGACCTAATCCTTGATATGGATGACACTATGATAGATATGACTGACATCTATGAGGATATACTCCCTGCAATAAAGGATGATACAGAAAGAGAATAAGATTCAGCATATTAAAATCATTTTTCTATTTCAAATATGTTCTGTTTTCTAAGCGTTAGCATTAGGCGTTTTTTTCTAGTTATGCATATTTTCATTATTAAAACCATGTAGAATAGGGAAGCTTTGATTTCATTTTGGCAAAACTATTTTTTTCTAAGTTTTAATTCAAAAGACTGACTTTAGTTATGTAGTTCTTCCTTTCCTTGTACTATTAGGATTCTTCATATGGCTGAATAATAGCAAGGGACAGAATTTACCTAAGAATAGAGTGAAGAACTGATGAACTTTACCACATAGCGATTCTTAGTGTTACTATTCTGGGATTCATGGAAATTCTAAGGGTAATCACGCCCATATTACAGTGAATATTTTCACATGGACAGCACAACGTTGAGACATTGCATGTTAAAAAGACAGGTTTCTATGGCAGAGTTAAGGTAAGTAATTCTGAAAGTGCAACATCTTCTAGACAATAAAAGTATAGGAAGATGTTCTAGGTATAGAAAGGTTTTCCAGACCTACTGGGGCCAAACCTTTGAGAATTCTGGGGCCAAGATATTCCCATGAAAGACTGCTTACACAAATGCTGATGCATGCTGCAGCTTTGTTACAATCCTTTTCTCTGATGGAAACTGAAGCTTGTACCAAAGACCAAAGAAAGACGTTCTAGAATGGCAAGACAAGGCCTGACAAGGACTTCATCAACAGCAAGTCAAATGCTTAAGTCATCAGCCTGGAGGTTATGGTCTCCAAGGGTAATTGCATACCTTCTTGTGTATAACTGAGTTTAAGACATATGGACAGAAAGCCTAATGTAGTAGGATGGCTAAACCTTACCATAGTAATATTTGTGACACAATAATCTTCCACATGTCAGAAAGGTGAAATATGATAGTTGAAGAACCTTCTTGCTGAAACAGAGATCAACTAGATAAATGTGCAAGAAATGCACAGATTAGACCAACCTATGCCATCCAATTCTTTCACCTTCATGGACAGATAGTATGGTCTTCTTACCAATTTATGTAGAGTCCTAAAGCATGTCATAGTTAAAAAAATTAATATGGCATTTAATATAGATCATAATACAGGCCGAGCTAACTAACATGACAGATACAAAACTAACATGACAAATGTACAAACAGAATAAATGAAGATTATAGTAAAATGCAAATGCTGAGGTCAGTTACATATCATAGTAAGACTATTGCTATAATAACTTTGTATAAGCAAGCTGAATCTTATTTACCCATTAGAAAAAAGATTCTAGGCACATAGATACAGCCAAAGAAGCAAATAGGTGATGCCCTTAAAATAAACCTAAGCAGATTGGAGAAAAAAAGAAGAAATAGTTTATTTTTCCATGCCAGTAGGAAATGTTAATGAGTAGTAATAATTGTAATTAGTGAAACAGTTAAGATTCTTTTCACATTCAATAAGAATATTTACCAATAATGATAACAATCAAAGAACTGTAGGACAGCTAGAAAACATAGTCTACACTTTAAGTAAGGGTTTAGAAACAACTAGGGGAAATATATATTGCTGTGAGGGAAATTCTAACTGTAGGATACGGGGTATAATTTTCTGTCAAAATAAAACTCAAATCATAAATAACTAGACATATTTAGGAAACATCTAGAGAGAGGCCACCAGTCTACTGTTAATTCTATTTGGTGAGCAATTTACCTGAGAGAGAGAGCAAACTTGATGCTGCACAAACATGATAGGCACGCTAAATAGTAGACAGCAATCCAAGTAGAACTCGAGAATATAGGCTTTAGAACCATCCCACAACTGATTAATAAGACTTTGTTAAAACTGTTAGTGTTGTAGAGAGCAAACAATTAACTGAAGCAGGCCCTAATAAGAGAGGCCTGTAAGCCTACTCTAGACTTGGCAATAGGACAACGCCTTAAACAAGACAGAACAATAGTGAATGGAGACTGTGATTCTTAGACATCAGAACAAGGAGATGGTGGAAGCTCGTAATAAATGGATCTACTTAGCCTCTTATTTACTTGTAACACCTGGAGAGATGGAAGTGTAATAGCACCTAAGAACTAAATGTAATTTCAGTATCTGCTTTGATTGTATAATCATGTGCATTTAAGAACTGCTATGTTGTAATTCTACTTCAAGAAATAGATTCTTGTATTAAGTATGGTTGCTGTATGGAACAGGGTTAGAAATAGAGCTAAAGGTGATAAGGAGAAAGTTTAGTAGTAAGAACACACTTAAGCACAAGAGCTGTTGGGGAGGCTATTTTCAGTAGAGAGAACATTTTAAATTGCCAAGAGTTGCACAGTTGTTTGAGATGGGCTTACTTCCTAAGTGAGTTAGTCTGTGCCTTATGAAAAATTAGTCAACCCTAAGATATTGCTAGAAGAAGCTAGATGATAGTTGATATAGATTAAATAGATAGTTAAATTAAAAGGAGCAGTATTAATAATATGCTTATGGGACGTATCTGATTGAGATGTTGAATCTGTTCCAGGAGTGTGGAGTGAGTGGCTGGTTCATTATTCAAGTAGCCTTGTTTTGTATCTTCTTGAGGTTAATGCCAAAATCAGATTTTGTATTGCATAGAGAAGTGGAGAGGGCGCAAGGCTATATATTTTGAGGCAAATTTAGAGGTGTTGAGATCAAGAGAGACCTAGTAGATGGCACTGAAGTAGAAAGTACAAATCTAAATGCTTTAGCTAAAGTAGGAAAACTATATACCTGCATATATTCTATAAGCTACATATCTGCATCCTTATATGTAATCATTTTTCAAGTTATTATGTTATAATTGCTTATGATCTTTATTGACTAATTTTCCAAACCTCATTATTGTTTTTAAGAGATTTTAACTAATAAACTTTAATTGAAAATTCAAAAAACTTGTAGTCACTTTAAATTACCTAGTAGTAAATTTCTAGGCTACCACACTGCCATGAAAAGTCTCTGTTCAACAGAAGGTCATGGAATATAACCAATGAGAATGTTGTACCACAAGCCTGACTGTCTACTTCTGACTTGTCAGATGATCTCCAAGAAGTAAATGAACATGGTGCTTCATCTTTTGTAAAATGAAGATTACACATTTCTGCATACTTGGGAGCCTAGTCTGTTTGGATGCTCACCTTCCTAGACCTGGATGGAGTGGGGAGGACCTTGGACTTCCCACAGGGCAGGGAACCCTGACTGCTCTTTGGACTGGAGAGAGAGGGGGAGGGGGATGGGGAGAGGGGGAGGGAAATGGGAGGAGAGGAGGAGGTGGAAATTTTTAATTAAAAATAAATAAATAAAAAAGAAACAAATGAAATAACATGGTTTTTAAAGGCTTTGGTGTATCTGTCAATGGACTAGAATATATGAAATTGTGACATTTCCAAAGTCATTCCATACCAACAAATGTCAATATGAAAATACCTGAAGATTTAATTGACATGTAAGGACAGTCCAACAGTTTGCACCTGTTACTAAGAGACAAATGCTTCCTCATTCTACTGTTTTATGTAAAAATTATAATTCGGAACTGGCTTTTGTTTAATTCTTTGGAGCATACTTTTTCACCAAATTAAATTCTTTTGAAGATCCTATTTTGAATCGTAGTAGGAATAATTATGAGAAAACTGCAGTGAAAAAGCCCTTTAGGGAATAATGAATTATCTTCCATTTTAGGCTAAGATTTTGTTTCTGAGGGCAATATTATACCAGTTTCTTTTCTCTTTGCTGTTTCCAAATATATGACAGAAATACCTTAAGGGACAAAAGGTTTATTTTGGCTCATGGTTCATGGTTTTAGAGGGTGGCGGTTAACCATAATACGAAAGACATGGTGGTGAGAGCAGCTCTGTCTATGGTATTGGGTGCTCAGTTGCCTAGGGACCAGGAAGCAATGACATGGGCAGATTGAGTGGTAAGTATAACCTCATAAGACCTGCTCTAGAGACCTACTACCCAAGCCCTGTTGCCTAAAGGCTCTACAACCTTTCAAATAATATCATGAGCTGGAGAAAAAGCACTCAAAACACGATCCTGTGGGGGAACATATTACCTTTAAGTCATAACACTCTGTCTCTGTTTCTCATAGGCTCATAGCTATTTGATAATGCAAAATGCATTAACTCTACATATCCCCTAAGCTTTAACAATTTTAACGTTCTTCAAGACTTCAAGTTCAGAATCTGCTCTCATATTTAAAATAATCTTCTATGATCCAATATAAAATAAAATAAAAAAAAACACAGAGGTCCATACTTAAACACAGTGTTACCTACTGAACATTCCCTAAAAGGAGAAATGTGGATATACCAAGAGAAGATTGAAACTGCAATTACAGGCATGCACCACCATGCCTGATTTACTGTTAAACACTTTTTCCTTTTTGAGTACTCTCTCATTCTCATGTAGAGGTTGTTACTCTTTGAATACCTTTGACCTATGAGAGAGATTTTTGCTCATCCTTTTTACCAGCCTTCTTCAGGGTCTTAAGGTCATTAGGAAAGTTATCTTTTTAAAATGTCTTCAAATTGTTTATGAGCTCTGAATATGTGACTCTTGATTGAATTTGCTGCATTACATCAGGAGATAGGATCCATTTAAACTAATAATTAGGCTGGGGAGACGGCTTAGGATGTAGGAGCACTTGCTGTGTAAACATGAGGACCTGAGAGTTCAAAATCCACAAACCCATGTCAAACACTGGGTATGGTTGTGCATGCTGTAACTACAGCGCCCTGTGTAGGGGGGAGGGATATGACAGGTAGAAACTGGGTATGGTTGTGCATGCTGTAACTACAGGTAGAATGATTATTGGAGTTTCTTGGCCATCCGCCTAGCTTGAAGTTCAATGGGAGACCCAGTCTCAAGAGAAAAAGCAGACAGTGGAGTAGAACACCCATTGTCCTTCTCTAACCCCTGGGCATATTGAATGCGTGACTATGCCTGTACACACATGTGTATGCATCATATATCACAGCTGGATACACACACACACTCAGTTATGTGCACACTTAATGATACTATTAAGGGTGTAGAAGGGGAAAGGACAAAACACAAGGGACAAAAGTAAAAAAAAAATAAGGACTAGGCTGAGAAGTTGTGGCACATGCCTTTAATCCCAGAACTCAAGAGACAGAGCAGGAGGATTGCTATTAGTTCAAGGCCAGCCTGGTCTACTGAGTGAGTTCCAGGACAAGTGAAGGCTACACAGAGAAACCCTATATGGAGAAACCAAAACCCCAAATGAAACAACTCCCCCGCCTCCATCCCGTAAGCAACTACTGAAACTAGTGGAACATATCTGTAAACTCAGTCCTTTGGGAAGAAGATCATGTGTCCAAGGAGCTTCCTTCATATGACCCTGTCTCAAATGCCACAAATGCATTCTTAGGTGTGCATGTACACACACACATGCACACACACGCACACACACATATACACCACACCACCACCACTACCACCAAAACTAAGGAAAAATGTATATAAGAATAATAAACAAAAAATTAATATGTCATTCTCTTCAGTTTATTAAGACAAATAAACCACATGACTTTAAGAAAAAGTTTTAAAGTTTTTGAATGATTTATGTGTATGGGTGTTTTGCTTTCATGTATGAATGTATACCATATGTGTGCTTGCTGTCCACAGATTTCAGAAGAGATCACTGGATCTCCTGGAACTGGAACTACAGATAGTTGGGAGCCACCAAGTGGCACTGAGAACCAAACCTGGGTCCTCCGTAAGAACAACAAGTGCTCTTAACCACTGAGCCATTTTTCTAGCCCCATTTCCAAGGAATTTAAGGGATTCTTTTTTATCATGAAAATGCTAAATTCACTTTGTGTAGGTAATCTTGTGAAGATAAAATTAGATTTCATTTACTTATGTTCAAACTAGAAACTAGCTGTATTGTTTCATATCGATCTAAAGAAAGCTTTTAACTGTAAAATAATAAGTGATCAGGTATATTCATATTATTATATAAATTATGAAGATCATTATCTTTATAAATTTTGTTCCCAAATATAGTAAGTTAATCTTGTAAAACATCTTCAAACCAGGAGGACTGCTGTTTCTCCTCTCCTCAGTATTCTAAACCCAGAGAACAGTCCTTGACAATTATTGGTTGAATGATAAAATGCCTCCCTTTCAAAGAATCAGGTGACTACTTTTTTGGTCAAAAAGAAACTACACAGAAGCTGTCTGTATCACAGATAAATGGGTCTAACTGGAAACCCTAGCCAACCATACGTGGTTGAAGTCTTATGTGATAGAAAAATACTGAGTCTTGATTTGATGCTGTGGACCCTGAAAGCTTTAAGCTTCCAGGAACCAAAGATGATCTCAGCTTACCTCTTTCTGGTGATATTTGATTGCCACCTTAAGCTTGGCTAGGTCATGGTACTTCTGTGGGTCAAGGTCTTCACTGTGGTCATCTCGATGGTTGAGGATGATCTCTAGTTCTCGGGAGCTGCGTGCTTGGTCTAGCAGGTCCTTGGCAAAGAGCTTACATTGCTGGGAGAGCTCCTCATACTCGGCCTTGAACTCATTTTCCACCTTGCTTAGCTCATTGAGTTCCCAGCCCAGCCGGAAGGCAGTGAGGATGGGGTCCTCGCTTGATAAGGCAATCAGTGAGGGGCTTGCCAGAGCCTTGTAGATGTTCAGTCGGGACCTTGAATGGCGCAGGCTGTCTACCTCTGAGCTGGACACACACTCCACACAGTTGCAGCGGGTTTGGTGGGGCCGTGGAATAGTGACCCGCTTTTGGACGAGCAATTTGATGATTTCATAGTTGTTGGTGTGGGCGGCCAACATGATGGGAGTGATGTCTGGTGTGAACTCAGAGAACTGGGTGTCCATCAGCAGAGTGGGTATCTAAATGCAAGAAATGAGAAACACAGAGGGGCAGGGTTATTGTTAGGAACACAAGGAGCTTCAGTTGGTAATTCAGAAACTGAACTTTCTAGTCTCTTGTGACTTCTTACCCAAGCAGGTAATGTTTGTGGGCTGCTGTGTGGCACTTCCCTAAGCACTTTCCTTGCATTTACTTATGGAATATTCACAGCACCTAATTGGTAGTTATTCTTCCCATGGGAAGAAGCTGTGAGAGGCTAACGGATACACCTAAGATTACGTAGTAGTAGTAGTAGGGCCAAAATTCAACCCAGGTAGTGAAATTGTCAAGGTCCGTTCTTAAAATTAGGCTATCATGATATGTCCAGTTTTATCTAACAGAACAAGGAAAACAAAGAAGGAGAAGATCTTGCTTGTGGTCTTCTGGCTGAAGATCATAAAGTCCTAACGGTTTATGGTGTTTCATGTTTAGCTTTAATTGAGCTGTTGAAACTGCTGAAATATTGACTTCAAAGACCAAAGACAAGAAATCATTTTGAAGACCATGCAACTAAATAAAGCCATAATTGCAACAGAAAAGACTCTTACAAATGGTATTGACTTTGCATGCATACAGGACTTTAGAGGATTAATTCAATTTCTTCCAAGTCCAGGAAGGTAGAAAGAATTAGGTATTGTTAGGGAGAAGTAATATTGTAAATGAGGAATTTCATGCTTCAGGCAGCATTGCTAAAGACAAGGGGCATTTGATAAAACTGTTGTCTAGAATGCGATGTTGGTGGAAATGGTATCTATAGCCAGAGTACATTATGTATTCCGGATCACACCTAGAGAAGAGCATAGACCCTAATAAATGAGTTAGAGTAGTCTTCCAACTTGAAAATAAATCTTCAGGGACTTTGTTTTCAGGCCAATAAAGAAAGCAAGAGGGTCTGGAATCACAGTTGGGTTAGTAGACTGTTTGTCTAGCATGCACAAAGTCTTTGTTTCGGTGACCTGGACCATAGAAACTGGACAATGTTGAGAATACCTGTAATCTTAGCACCTTGGAGATGGAAGAAGGAACATCAGAATTTCAAGGACATCCTTTGCTATATCTATACAGGTCAATGACACTAGCGAAACAGGAGATTCTGTCTCAGAAATGAAAATAAAATGGAAGCCCAGGGAGCTCCCTAGACTCACATAAGAACCAGAAGATTGAGGAGAACAGAGACAGTGAGGGGAAGGTTTTTGGAAGAAAAATCTGAGTGTGTAAAGCATGGGTAGCATTCCAGCAGATGGGGGAAATACTGATCTGATTACATTTGAGGAAAAAAATTACATAGTGTCAAAACTCACTTTCAATGGGGAGGAAGACAGTTGGGAGTCTCATTAAGTAGAAAAATATTGTTTTCATCAACACTCTCTTTCTATCTTTTAAAGACTACAACAATAACAATCTATCTATCTATCTATCTATCTATCTATCTATCTATCTATCTATCTATCTATCTATATAATAATGACCTTGCAAAATCATGAGATACTGGTTTTCATCATTTTTACCTTCTTTCTTGCCTTTTATTTTTTCTAATTCACTTTGTATAAGGGATTTCTAAAACAGAGAAGTGGCAATAAAAGGGGGAGATGGAGTAAAATTAAGGGGAACAGACTGCAAGAAACCCCACTTTCCTCACTGAGTAGCTGCATCGGCCTCTGAAGGCTGTCAGTCATTGCTAGGCTAGAGAAGTGAGTAAGCATTGGAAAACATTGGGAAAGAGAAGCTACAAACAAAACCAGGGGAAGTGAACAACTCTGCTCATAAAGTAAATTGGACACAGGAAAGAATAATCTCAGAAATTAACATAAGCCTACAGGCTTCGGAAGAAATAGGTCTGAGTGGGCCATGAACATAAATACAACTGCTGTAAGGCCATGGAGTGGGGAGAGATGGAAAGTGAGCAGGTTGTCATCGTCTGTCCAGGAAGAAAAGAGCTCATATCTGGAAGATCTGTCCTTTCTCTAGGCAGAAGACATTTTCCAAACTTCGTCATTATCGCAAGTGGTTGGGAGAAGGTGGAGTGGGTGTCAACCTGTTGGATAGTTTTCTCTGGGTGATCAGACTGTAAAGTCCAGGAATTTAGTAAAGCACATCTTTGGATATCTATGATGGTGTTTCTAGAGAGGCTAGGTCATGAAGGCTCTGAAATAATTAAAGAATTAATCTACTGATGGATTCATAATATGAAGACATTATTGAGGGTGTGTGGTTTTTGATCATTCAATGGGTTATGGATATTTGTTATTGTTTAGGAGGTTTGCTTACACATTGTGAGTTGTTACAGTCAGGAGGAAAGTTGAACAAAGAAGGTCAGAGATAGAGTTCTTGTTTTGAAAGGAAAAAAGGGGGATATAAATATAATAAGATAAAAGGGTAGATTATTGAATCTACTCTGAAAAGAAAAAAAGGAGGATATAGATATGATGAAATAAAAAGTTAGATTATTGGATCTCCTTTTAAAAAGCAACTACTAGTTTTAAATGTTTTACATTAGGTTGGAATTTTGTATATTATATACAATTTTATATACTGACACAAATTTGAGATTAATTGTTTAGAACATACTGTACATACATTTCAACTCATGTTCAAAGTATTGTACCTATACAACTCATTTAACAAAGTAATGCAAATTTCTTACCCTTGAAAATTATTATCAATTGTTTAGAATAATAAGGAAATGCAGGTTAGTAGTTGATCACCTACTATAATCTAACTTGTCATATTAAGAATGTTTTCAAGGTCAAACAAGGATAAATTTTAGATAGACAGATTATCTTTGAACACTTCAGAGATCTACAAAATATGGCATTTAAGATGTTTTAATATAAAAATGAATTAAAAAGATTTTTTTAATAACATCAGTTCTTTTTTAAACGACAATGAGATATGTCTGCTCCTGGCAGCACCGATTTACTTCAGAGAAGATAATGGACATCACAGAAACTCCACATGGAGTTTACTTTTCTTTGTGGCAAAAGTAAGCCATCGGGGAAGAAAATGCCCTTGCCTTGACTTCTGACAGTATGCTGTCCTAATTGAACAATCAGGACACAAAAATAAGTGACTGCCAAATTTTCTCAAGACAAGGAGGGAGAGCCCTTCAGAATTTTCTGCTCCACAGAAAGGAAGGTCTGTCCAAAATGCTAGGCCTGTAGGATGAAGATGGATGCACCAACGTTGCAGAAGAACTTTGGGTGACTGTCCAGGCAGTCAGCTGTTTCTGTCATTTCTCACATTTTTTTGGAAGTTGCTTGCTCGCATTTACTGCTTATTCAGCTAATATTATTTCCTTCTTGGGTTTCTGAGGGAATGGAAAACTAGATAGTTGAGTTTTCCTTGTTTACCAGATGCAGAAAGCAAGTTATGATAGGAAGTAAATTAGGTACAAGACTTTGGACTCATCAAGATAGGATATATAGCCAGGCAATGGTGGTGCACGCCTTTAATCCCAGCACTCGGGAGGCAGAGGCAGGCGGATCTCTGTGAGTTCGAGGCCAGCCTGGTCTACAAGAGCTAGGTCCAGGACAGGCTCCAAAGCCACAGAGAAACCCTGTCTCGAAAAACCAAAAAAAAAAAAAGATAGGATATATAGAAAGTATTTTCTCTGAAGTTGTCAAATGCAAATGGACTAGACATTGTTGGTATAGTTATCTCCTGTATATATTGTATATAGTTATTGTACTAAGTGTTTATAATTTTTCTTATGTTAGTTATAGTCTTTTTATTTTAGAGAAAAGGGGAAATGTAGTAATATTTCATTTTTATTTTAATAACTAAAGCTTGCCTAAAGATCAGAATGCAAAACAGCCATACCAGTCATCCATACAGGCCAGGCAGTGGTGGCACACACCTTTAATCCCAGCAGCCTCTCTAGTTAGTCATAGAGGCCAGGAAGTGGTGGCTGTATGTCTTTAATCCTAGCACTAGAGAGGAATAAGAGGTGGGATGAGCCAGGAACTTGCTCTCTTTCAGTCTAAAAATTTCATAGAGGTAATAGCTTTCTAGTGACTTGCTGCTTTGTTTTTTTGATCTTTAGCCTGAACCCTAATATCTGTCTCTGGGCTTTTATTATTTGTGCTATAGTGAGCATCACCAGTACTGTCTTCTTGGAACTGTTGTTATATTTTAGTGTATTTCTGTGCAAGTCTTATTATCTAAAGTTAATAAAAATTTCATGGATGTCCTTAGACCTTTGTATCCTTATAAGTTACCGACTGATCAGCTAGTCTTCGGGGGGAAAAGTCAATATCAAGTCATTAAACATTAATTATTGACAAACATATCTGGATCATCTCTGATGGAGGTTATTTATATTTAATTGATAACATCCAGAACGAACCCCTGGGTCTTGTGTGAAAGCTGCAGTTTTCCAGAACTGAACTGTTAGTTGTCTTAAAGAGTAACTGTAGCCTTTCCCAAGGCCTTACACTTTACCATAGAGTATTTATTCTTCTCATTTATAGATAAACTTTGCTACCTGTAATGGTTCTTTAGCAATTGGCAAAGAAAGTTGAGAACAACTTTGCAATGTGCGAAGAAGGAAATTGGAAGTCCTACCTACTACATTTTTTTGGGTTGTTTTTGCCTTTAATTAAAAAAAACATACTGCTCTCTACATTACAATGCAAATATTTCTTCTCTGGTGGGACACATTTAATTGTGCAGATAATTGATCCGCTGCATATGCCGATGAATTTATTTCCACATTCTTGGCAGTCTAAAACATTTTTCCCCCTGTCAAAGACCAGAGAGTGAGTATTTCGGCATTGTGGGACCTTACAATGCTACCATTGTAGGACCAAAATTGCCACAGGCAATGCTTTCAATGATTGGATATGACTGTGCTCCAACAGAATAGTATTTGAAAAAGCAGATGATGACCACAGGATTTTGTTTATGTGCCACAATTTGCAAAGTCCTGTTTACACATTTTCTTGTTAATTTATAAGATAAACTTTTTGACATATCTTCATTT